AATGCATTCCAATGCTCTTTCTCAGCTCCAGCTTCTACAGTCAGCCCACATGGGGTCCCCAGCCCCACCCCTGCTGCAGCCCCAGCCCCAAAAGGGTGGACAAGAAGCCACACTTACTTGAGAATGTCCTTCTTATTGAAGAAGGTGCAGTCCTGTGGAGGGAAAACATACACACACAGTGGGCTGTGCGGCCCAAGGCTCCTTCCTTTCTCAGAGCCCTTGAGCCACAGGTCCTCACCACACAGCCCTGTGCTGGGGGCAAAAGAGACTCTATTTCCCCTCCCACATCTGCCCACTGGCCTGGGAAGCCAAAGCATGGGTGGAGTGGGGCTGTGAGACATGCTTGGGGGTGCACAGTAAAGAAGGAGCTGGAGTTCACAGGTGGACAAGGTTGTCTTAAAGACCAGTGGAATAAGCTGTGAGAGAACGGGAAGGTGGCTGGGACACAAAATTCTGACCTCCACTGAGGATCCACATGGCCACCACATTACACTAGTTCAGGTCCTGAGGATGGGGCCTCATGGAAGTGTGCAAGGTACATTGTGCATTCTGGATGGTCATGGGAAGTAGCCCTATGTTGGGAGACAGTAAGTTCCAGGAGTGTGGACAGAGGAAGCAACAGTATATATCCAGTGTCTGAAGCCACAGAAATGGGTAAGGTCACACAGTGGGAAAAGAGGAGGGATGGAGGCTGGGGGAAGAGGCTGTGGAGGAGGAGGGTGGGCAGGGAGCCTTGGAAGCATCTGGACAAAAGAAAGGGTGGAGGCTGCTAAGGAGGCCCAGGTGGGTTACCCAGAATGGGCAGCACTCAGCTCCTGAGGTCATACAGATTATAACCTCCTAGGACTTACCTGGTGGCCTGGTCTGCCTATAGTGGGTAAAAACCACTGGCATCTTTGATGGTGTCTATTTATTTATTTATTTGTCAATGGACCTTTATTTTTTATTTATTTGTATGCAGTGCTGAGAATCGAACCCAGTGCCTCACACATGCTAGGTAAGCACTCTACTACTGAGCCCCAGCCCCAGCCCTTTGATGGTGTTTTTTATGCCAGGCTTTGGAGGGAAGCAAAGAGGTAAAAAGGATCCAGCACTTCCTAAAACAGTCAACGGAGAAGGCCTTTTATGTGTATCCTCCGCTGTTGGGCTCCTCTGTCTTTGTCCACTGTTGCAATATGAAGGAAGAAGGCCTCTTAGGCTCTGCAGAGCCCAGAGCCTGAAGGGCCTCCTGGGGCCATATGCTGAGCAGAGCTGCTCTGATGCAGGGTGAATGGCTGCTGCCCAGGCTTGCAGACAGCCAGGCTGGCCTGGATAAGACCTGAAACCTCTGGACATCAGGTCAATTGGATTGCATGTTGAGGCAGGCCAAGAATGATGCCCATAGGATGCCCACAACAGGGAGGGCTCCATTGGGCACCTTCAGCTGGGGATAGTTGGTAAGAATGTCCGGGTCCCATGAAGCCCAATAAATCTGTCCTTCTGAGCAACCTGCAGCTCTCTGGGAGTTAGATGAAGGACTCTATGCTGCCTTGCCCTTCTTGGAAATGTAGGTGCTGCTCCTGGGGGGACTTGGCTTTGCTTTTGGCAATGGCTCCTCTGAGAGAGCCATGAAAGGCTCAGGTTGGGTGGCTCTACCTTCCACCCAGCAGGCAGAAAAAACCTGCCTGGCAGGTCTAAGACTCAGAGAGGCTGGGAACCATGTGGGCTGATACCTTGGAGACCTGGTTCAGGCAGCCTGACTGAGCCTTCCAGGTACAGATGACCCTCTGCTGCAGGCTGGTTCTGAGGTTGGAAGGTGTCAGTCACAAGGGCCAAGACTCTGCTAACTAGCCAGGAGGAGGTTGTTGGCAGACCTGGAATGAAGAGGTCCTGGTTCCTGATCTCCTCTCTTCTGATCTGTCTGCTCCCTCCTCCCCTCCCCTCTCTCATTGGCCCTGGGTTAGAAAGGAAGTATTCAGGTCCTGACCCAAGGGTTCTACTGGCAAAGATGCAAAAGCTTCCCATATAAACCTGGGCCCTTATCATGATTATTACATCTCTCTACATCAATGGTCCTTAAGATGGGGTGCCTGGATCAGCAGCAGCACTGGGCCTGAATTTTAAGAAGATCCCTCCTGTTCTTTGTCTCTGCATTGTTGCACCGAGTCCACAGTCCATAAATGGTTCCCTAGGGTCTTCTACAGCAAGAGGGGACTGGCCAGTGCAGTCAATGCAACTCTTTGTTCATGGATTATTTTCATAGAAAAAATTTGTTTTACAATGATGATATACAGTGTCCACTGAAAGGAAAAGGGAAGAGAGAGAACAGAACAGAAGAGATGAGATAGAAGGGGAAAGAAGGAAGAGGGAGAAAGAGTGAGAGAACCAAGGAACTGTGGCAAAAGCAAGTGAGTGGCTGGGGTGGAGGGAGCAGACAAGAGGGGTGAGGAAGGAGCAGTTAGACCTCTCATTCCCAGGAGACTGAGGAGGTCTGGACCAGGGCCGGGCCCTGGGGTTAAAGGAGAGGTACCCAGATGAGACACAAAAGAGACTTGTTTTTAACTGAAAATGGGGGCTAAAGGAAAATGGAGAGTTGGAATGGCTGGAAGAGCAGCGGTGGGTTCTGGGAAAGGTAGTGAGGCCTGTTTGAGAGTTTGAAGGTTCTGGGGAATAGATTTACAATTCAGAGTGACCTAGACAGAAGCTTAAACTTTGGGAACCAATGACACCTGGGAACTAGGAAGAAGGCACCCTTCCTTAGGAAGAGAAGACTATCAGGCTGGAAGTCCCAAGAAACCTGGTGATCACTTGGGGCAGAGGTAGCTATAACTCAGGGTCACCCCATCCAGTACTGGCTGGCCATTTTGGACAGCCAGAGGGAAGGAGATGTGGGCCTCTCAGATTTCATGTCTCTCATTTCTCCCACCCGCCTGGCAGGGTCTAGCCAGGCCTGGCAAAGGATCAGAACCCAACACTGGGACTGGCTCTGATGGGTAACCCAATAGGCTGGTCTGAGTGGGAACCCGGGCTCCCTACCCCCGCCCCAGACCATTCTTTGTTTCTGGGTATGGGCTGCTTGCCCATGCCTACCTCTAAGTTTTTATTCAAACTGCCACCTCCACCTGGAATGTCTCCTTCCATGCACTGCTGAGTAAAATGCACCCATCTTCCAAGGGCTTGTTCAAGCACTGCACTGTTTCTAAATCTTGCAGACAAAGCAAAAGCCAGCTACCTCCAGGCATTCCCCTGCCTGCTAACGCTCCTCCCTAGAACACACTCCACACCTGCCTCTATCACAAGGGCCACACTGGAGGTAAAAGTCTGTCTCACTTAAACTTTGAGAGTCTTCTGGACAAAAAAGCACATAGTCCAGCCCACTTCATCCCAAAGGAAGAAAGCCAGCCTTGGGCTTGCTATTCAAATTTCTAAGTGAGACCTGAATGTCCAAGGCTCCTTAGCCTCTGTTTACTCTCCTATAAAATGGAGCGTATGATCCACCTCACTGTGATGGTCAAGTGAGTTGATGCGTGGAGGGCACTGACTATAGTGTTTGATAAACATCTAGCGCTCCATAAATATAGTTCCTCTCTTCCTTCCTGAGCCTCACAAGAGGAACTGAGAAATCTGTGTTACTGATAAGTAGGAGACAAAGGGGCACTTATTTTACCTCCACCCACATTAAAGGACCCACACTTCAAGCTTGCTTTCCTTCATGCCAACACAAATATTCATGAAAGCTCCAGGTATCTACTATGTTCCTCTCTCCCAAGACAGTGGTGACAACAGGGTCCTGTCAGTCCTGCCTGGGGGAGTCAGGGGAGGTATCAGAGTAAGGCCTTGAAGGCTGGGAGAGATCACCTGGAGACAGGTGTCTCAGGCCCAGGAAACTGTACAGAAAAGAAAGAAATGGAAGGAGGGAAGGAGGAAAGACCATGGCCAGTTGGGGGATTGTAGACTGTTCTGAGGTGGTGGCAGTGCAGTCAGCAGGCAAGGGACCTGGAGAAACTGAGGCTGCAGAGGTAAGCTGGGTAGTTGGCCAGGGATCCTGGCAAGTCAGGGGTGGGGGCTTCATCTACAACCACAGAAGTTTTTACATGGGTGGGAGGGCAGTGGGATCCTGGATCCTGACAGCTGGTTCTGGAACCTAGAAGGATCTAAGGAGTGCTGTTGGGGGTGCTGACAGAGATTAGAGAAGTGCCATGTAAGAATGGTACCTGGCTTACCTTCTTGTTCCAGTTATTTCCATGTTGGGGCCAGAGGGATAGACTCCAACAGATAAACAGCCCAACTTAAGACCACAATTGGGGCTATAACACCCCACTTCCAACCCTTCTTGGGACTGTGGGGACTGACAAGGCTTTCAGCCCACGTTTTCTGACTCTCCATCTCAGTGCCAGGTGGTCGCTGGGAGGGGTGGCTTGGGTCCAGCCTGGACCCAGGCTTAAGGCTGGATGGGGGAGAGAGGAAGGGAAAGGGAGCAAGGTGTCCCCGACACAAATTTCCACCTGGAAAGCACTGTCGTTCCCCAGGCGGGGAAACTGAGGCTCTGAAAGGGGTAAGTCACCAGCCCAAGGTCAGGCTGCGCACTGAAGGCAGGAGTAGGATTTGAACCCCAGAGAACTGGCTTCCCCGCGGTCTCGGGAAAAGACAGGAGGGCGGAGGGCGCCGCTTCAGGGACCGGGGCGCGCCGGTCTCACCTGGTAGTTGTCCAGCTGCTCTTCGGTGAAGATGGTCTGCTTGTTCCCCATGGTGGCTGCGGCGCCGTCGTTCGCCCGCGGGTGCGCCGCCTCCCATCAGCGGCCGCAGGAGCCGGGAGCCTCGCGCCCCGCGGCCCTCTCCAGCCCCGCGGCGGGCAGCGTCCCCGGGCGGCCGGACCCGCCACCCCGCCCCGCGGCTCGCCCTGAGGAGGTTAGCGGGGGCCAGAGGAGCCGACCGGGACCCGGCGTGGCAGCGACTCCGCCCCCGGAGGGGAGGCGACGGGCGCCGGACTCCGGTGCTGTCGTGCGCTCGGGGCCCGCCAGGCGGCGGCGTGGCCGCGAGAGGACTCCTGGTGCCGCCGTGCGCGCGTCTGCAGGGCCCACCCAGGACTTCCGGCCAGCAGGGCCAGGGTCGCTGCGGGTGAGGGCGCCGGGCCTGGGAAATCCCTTCCAGGGATGGAGTAGGGCGAGTGACACCATCTCGGTGTGGGGCAGGGGTCCCTGTACGGTGAGTGCGGGGACCTGGTTGGAGCCCGACTCTGCCACCGTCTTGCGTGGCGACCTTGGCCAAGCCCTTCTCTTGGGCCCGGTGGCTCCGATGAAGTGGGGGTGGGGTGGGGTCAGTCGAGCTGACCTCCAAAACCCTCCGCGGTCCGATTCCCGCAAACCTTTGGCCGCAGCCTGGGCAGGGCATCTCAGGTCTTCTAGGCTCCTCAGGGAGGAGCACAGGATTTGCTTGGCATTCTCTTGAGAGAATTCGAAGAACTTATTGTATCCAAAGAAGTGTGACAAAGGCCAGTACGTTTTCTTGGGGTTTTAAGCAACTGCAAAACTTGAACCTCAGAAGATGTCAGGGGGTGGTGAAAAAAGCCGGCATGGTGGTGCACCTGTAATCCAAGCAGCTGGGGAGACTGAGGGAGGAGGATGTAAGTTCCAGGCTAGCCTCAGCAATTTAGCGAGGCCCTAGGCAACTTAGCCAGATCCTGTCTCAAAATAAAAAATGAAAAGAACTGGGGATGTTGCTCAGTGGTTGAGCATCCCTTGGTTCAATCCCTGGTACAAACAAAATAAAACAAAACAAACAAAAAACACCTCAATCTGGGTCTGAGAATTAATTTGGCAAAAGGACAATATTAACAGCAGAGAAGCATACCCATTTATTTAATTAAGTTTTACAGGACATGATAACCCTCATAAGTAAATGAAGATCCAAAGAAGTGGCAATACCTAAATACTTTTATACTAGGTTGAATAAACAGAATTATTGAAAAGTAAAATATATGGGAGGCTAAAGAAAGATAAATATTTTAATAACATCTGTACATATATCTTGTAGAGGTCCAGACCATATGTGTGCTATTTCTTACCTCAAGAACAGCTGACTATAGGTATTAGCTTCAAGTTACAGGTAAGGAAACAGGATAAAAGAGGTTTAATAGTTTGCCCGTGGTCCTTTAGCTGAGAAGTAATAGAACCTGGGCTGGTTCTAGGTGCTGGTTCAACCCACTATTTTATACCTGCCAGTGGACTTTGAGGAGGAGATCAAGGTCTCATGGTTTGAAAGATGTGCTTTGCAACAATAATTGTTGGTGAGGATGTGGGGGAAAAGGTACACTCATACATTGCTGGTGGAACTGCAAATTGGTGCAACCACTCTGAACGCAGTATGGAGATGCCTTAGAAAACTTGGAATGGAACCACCATTTGACCCAGCTATTCCACTCCTTAGTCTACACCCAAAAGACTTAAAATCAGCATACTACAGTGACGCATCCATATTATAGCAGCTCAATTCACAATAGCTAAACTATGGAACTAACCTAGATGCCCTTCAATTGATGAATGGATAAAGAAACCATGATATATATACACAATGGAATATTACTCAGCATTAAAAGAAAATAAATTATGGCGTTTACAGATAAATGGAGATGGAGAATATCATGCTAAGCAAAATAAGCCGGTCCCAAAAATGCAAAGGCCAAATTTTTCTCTGAAATGTGACTACTGATCCATAATGGGGGGCAGGGGGAAGAATGGAGGAACTTTAGATTGGGCAGAAGGGATTGAGGGGAGGGAAGGGGGTATGGTGGTGGGAAGGGTGGTGGAATAAGACCAACATTATTACCCTATGTAATTGCACAAATGGTGTGACTACATCATGTACAACCAGAGAAATGAAAAATTGTGCTCCATTTGTGAACGATGAATTGAAATGCATTCTGCTGTCATGTATAAATAATTAGAACAAATTTAAAAACAAAGATGTGTTTTGTTTCTTAGGTTAGTGGTTCTGAAACCACTTGGAAGGTGATGCCTCTGGGAGTTTTTGGTTTAATAGACCTGGGGTGACTAAAAATGTGGGTATTCAACAAGTTCCATGGTGATGCTGTGGCTACTGATCCTTAAACCACATTTTGATCCTTAAACCTTCAGTTTAGGCTGAAGGTTCTGGGTTGCCATGGAAACGAGTCTGAGTTTGGCAGATGATCCTTGGTATTTTTACTTTCCTTTAATACTAGAGGTTGATGGTTAGGGCTTTCCAACATTATTTTGCCAGCCTCCAGTGAGAACAGCAGCTATTAGCTAAACAGGCCACCCTGTTGAAATCTCAAGTGTCCCTCAGAGGCACAATCAATTGCTATTGGATGGGCAGGAAGCAATTAAGCATCCCAGGGGATTGTTGATCAGCCTTCAAAGGCGGCCTCATCAGCTTTCATTCATTGTAGACACATCCAATAGGGGCCTCAGCTGCAGGAAAGAAGGTAGGATGTGTGCCCAGAAATTCAGAGAATGTGGAAACGTAGAGCCAAGATACCTTTAAAAGACTCCACCTGCACTCCCCCTTTCTCCCCTGTTATGAGTTGGGGAAACTGAAGCCCTATCGTAACATGATAACTGTTACAAAAGTTTTCCTTCTTTCCATCTTGGAGTCCACATACCCACCCATGAGCAGGCTAGAATTCTGTGTGTTCAGGTCCTGTTCTGGGACAGTCTTGAATAATTGCTAACATGATGATCATTTACATACCAGATATTCCAGGTAGAAAAGCCAGAACCTCTACAAAGAGGAAAAGTGTTTTCAGTCCTGGGAGCCTCTCCTCTCATGGGAGACGGTCAATGCAACCAACCTGAATAGAAAATTCCCTTTTAAAAATCCCTTTTAATTGCTGTTTTCTTTGGTCTAATTGAAGCCCACTCTTCTGAGCTATTATAATACTGTGAGGAAGGCAGGGTATACAAGTCCCATGTTACAGATGAGAAACACAAAATGACTTGCCTGATACCACCCAGCTAGGAAGTGGCAACGCAAAGCTCTAACCTCATTCTCTGAATCCAGTCCTGTGCATTAGCAGCTCTGGATGTTGGGTGTGGTCCCTGAGAAAGGCTGAGTGTTTGCAAGGAGAGTGGACAAAGGGAGAAGAAACACTGATTACCTATCTGGTGTCCAGGATTGTGTTAGATATTTTATATTTACCGAATATGATTTTTCTATAAACACCTCATAGGTCAGTAGAGTTTGACATTATCATCCTATTTTATAGATGGAGAAACAGTCTCAGAAAAGGGAACTTGTCCAAGGTCACACTGCTGGTAATGGGTGGGTTTAAATCTGAGCCCTGACTCTCCCCTTGATCATACTGTCTAGGGCAAGGGAACATGTAGGTACCCTATTTACAGGAGGCAGACAACTGGTTGACTGCAGTGTTACAAATGGTATCACTCAGGAAGACAGTGACAAGGGGGAGGTGGGGATGTCACTGAGGTGCCTGGTACTTTGCAAACACTCCATAAAATGTTAGCTTTTTTTCATTTCTGACTCGCACAATGAAGTCTGTTTTTAAATTTGGAATGGAAACAGATAAATGCTACCAAGTACTCCAAGGAGTACTTGAAAAGAGGGAAAGGGTTTGACTAAATATAATATAATAAAATATATATCTAATAAAAATTAAATTAAAAAATTAATCTCTTTTTTTTCTTTCCACAGTTCTTCCACCTCAACCACATGCTATTCTTTGTGATGAAATACTGTTGATCTGCAAGTTGTTCTTCTAAGACTTGAAATACATATAAGTGGATTGTAATGGTAGAGATTGAACGCGGTAGGCCCAAGGTCTGAATAGGAACATCTCCTAAGCAAATTAACAAACCTGCCTTCCACCTGCCTAGTTGTCTCAGCGACCACTTACCAGTCCTTCACTCAAATCCTTTGCTAGCCTACCTTTACTTTAAAAAAAAATTTTTTTATAGTTTTAGATTGACACAATGCCTTTATTTTATTTGTTTATTTTTATGTGGTGCTGAAGATCGAACCCAATGCCTCATGCATGCTAGGCAAGCGCTCTGCCACTGAGCTACAGCCCCAGCCTCCTACCTCTACTTTTTTTATCAGCTTCAAGGTTCCTGCTGGTTATATCCTGCCTGCTATCATGACTCATCTAATTATTCTCTATCTTAGGAATAATTTATGAGTATGTTCTTTTTGTTTTGTATTGTGTGCATTATAATTATACACAATAGTGGGATTCATTGTGACATATTTGTACATGCATATAACATAATTGGGTCAATTTCATTCCTCAGTACCTCATCCTTTTCTCCCCTCCTCCCTATCTGACCCCCTTCCTTTACCAGTCTCTATTCTATTTTCATGAAATTTCCTTACATAGTAATTTCTTAATATTTTGTGGATAAAAATGAATACCCAGACTGGGACTGGCTCTTTTGTGGGGAGAGGAAGGTTTATTTCTTCTCAACCACTAAGGTACAGGAGGGCTGGGACCACATCTTGGCCCCAGGGTCTAGGACAGTTTTTGGGTTTTTCTCATTTGTTTATTTTGTTTTTTGCTGGGTTTTGTTTGTGGTTGGTTTTGGTGTGTGTATATGTATGTGTTACTTGGGATCAAACCCTCCCCTCAAACATGCTAGGCAAGTGTTTTATCACTGAGCTACAACGAATATATCTTCCTGGACCTCGTGTGACTCAATTACATCCCCAAATAGTGTAACTTGGAAAAGATTTTCCAGCTAAGAGATTGAATGACCAGCCGTTTGGTACAGAGCAAACAAAACAAAACACCTCCCTTCCTGAATGACACCTAGGCTTGTTCTGGTCTCCCCTAGGAGACCCTGAATGTGAGAAGTTCTCAAGTAGCCTAGAATGGGACCTCAACCTGATGGTGGCTGTCCTGTTGTTGGGAGGAGGGGGCCAATCTCCCCCAAAACCTCCTACAATCTGCCCTACCCACCTCTTTCAGGTGCCTTAAAAATCCTTGGAGGCATCCTTGATTCCCCTTTACCTTACCCCACATACTCAGTCTGTCCGGGCAGCCTGGATGCACTCCATCAATATCACTGTCATCCAAGCCATCTTACCAGTATCCTGGACTATTATGGTAGTATCTTTCATGAAATAACCTAAGCCATTTCATGCACAATGGGGTTTCCTTGCTGCAGATCTCAGTAACCTACAGTAAAAGTGATAGATAAGGACAATAGCTTCTTTCCTCAGACTTTGCAAAGAGTGGGCCTGACACACTTCAAGCAAATCTCAGACTGAATTCTGTACCCTTTACCATCACTTATTACCAAGCAGGCTCCCAACAATCAGATAACCTGTTCTGTGAACTCAAGGAAGGCCTGGCTCCATGTCCTTTTGGGTGACCAATGGAAAAATAATTCAAGTCATGAATCCCAAAAAACTAAAGGCTGAATATTTTCTCTGATTAGTGGATGCTGATCTATGATGGGGGCTGGGGCATGGGAAGAATGGAGGAACTTTGGATTGGGCAAAGGGTAGGGTGGGGAGGGGTTAACAGGGTAGGAAAGATGGTGAAACGAGATGGGCGTCATTACCCTAGGTACATGCATGATTGCATAAATGGTGTGTCTCTATACCATGTACAACCAGAGAATTGATATTTGTGTTCCATTTGTGTATGATGAATTGAAATGCATTCTGCTGTCACATACAACTAAGTAGAACAAATAAAAAAAATTAAAAAATGTTAAACTCTCTAGTAGCCACATTTTAAGATGGAAAAAACAGGTGGAATTGATTACACTGCTATTTTTATGAAGCAGATATATCTGAAACATTGTCATCTCAACAGTATGGTCTTGGAATTCAGTGCACATTTTGTGTTAAGCACACATCTCAATTTAAACTAACTTTATTTCAAGTGCTCATAGCCATTTGTGGCTAGTGGCATGAGTTTTGAACAGCACAGGCCTAGACATTCATTTGATGACTATATGAATTGACTCCCTCTCAGACAATTCCAATGATCACTGCCCTGGGGATACTTTATGTTTTCTTTTCTTTTTCTTCTTTTGGCACCAGGGATTGAACCCAGGGATACTTTACCACTGAGCCCCAGTCCGAGCCCATTTTATTTTTTATTTTGAGACAGGGTCTTGCTAAGTTGCTGAGGGTCTCACTAAATTGCTGAGTCTGGTCTCAGACTTTTGATCCTCTTACCTCAATGTCCCAAATCTCTGGAATTACAGGCATATGCCACTGCACCAAGCTGATCCCCACACTTTTTAAGAATAGGTTACATCCATTATTACTGGGAGTAGCTCTTAGTCACCCAAAGACTCATAGAATCCCAGTGAGCTGGCTAGAGAGGGGCATTGGGTCACACTAAAAGAACAAAAGAATCTATCTAGGAGTCCCCCACCTTTCTCAAACTCACCAGTGAGGACCATACTTATGCTTCCAAAGCATTCCATCCTAATATGTACTACCTATGCAGCACCTTCGGATGACCATGGGCTTTTCAAAGCCAGCCCCTAAATGATCAAATACTCATTTCTGTGTTTGGAGGATTGTTTACAAGTCTGCGTAGCAAGGATTCTGATTTAATTCATTTTTTCTTTATCTTTCAGGAGAATGAAATATTCCATAGGTCTTTTGCCATTATACTACCTTCTGCTCACTCAGCATTTTAAAACATTATGCTGGGTGTGGTGACCTGTAATCCCAGCAGCTCAGGAGGCTGAGGCAGGAGGATCACACATTCAAAGCCAGCCTCAGCAACTTAATTGAAGCCCTAAGCAACTTAGTAAGACCCTGTAGCAAAAAAAAAAAAAAAAAATGGGCTGGGGCTGTGGGTCAGTGGTAAAGTGCCTCTGGGTTCAACCTCTGGTATCAAAAAGAAAAAAGAAAAAGAAAAAGATTAGTTATAAGGTGTTACTTACATTAATCAGAGTCCTCAGAACCCTCTCTGGAGTATCAATAACTTCGTTTATAAGTGAGGAAATGGAAATTCAAGTTTATACATCTAGAGAACGTCAGAGTGAGAATAGGGACACAGGTTTACTTGGGGATCTTTCACTGTGACCCTGGCAGCTTCGCAGAGAATAGACAATGTCCTTTTGAAAGCAGCAAGGCGTTCTTCTGTCCCAGTTACTGTGGAAATAAACTTTCAAGTGTTCACTTCATTATCATTGAAGCCTGAGGACCAGCTGTTCTAGGAAGAGTGTTAGGCTGGGAGTCTTTATCTGCTTGGAGGGAAGCTTTATCTCTATCTATATGGTGTCCTCTGCACTTGACCTGTGGACTTGGGCAGACAGTGCAAAGCCAGGTCCTGGGGTGTAAGCAAATGGGAGACAGGTCAGGTCAGGTGAATGCAAACCACTACCCAGGATTACATTTCCAGGTCTTATTTTGGGCAGCTCTTGGGATGCTATCCCAAAACAGGCCTCAGGGGGCAAATCTTTTGGTCAGAGTTCATTGAGTAAAATAATACACTCACAAGTACAATACATGGCTTGTCATATGGCGGCCCGTTAGCTCCTTAGGGCAGAGTCCAAGCTGCTTTCCATGACAGATGTGTGAGGGCCTAGACTCCATCTGTTTCCCCCACTTCTTACCACCTGGCCCTTTGCTGTTGGCCCTTTAGTTCCCAGATACAATCATTCACCTCTGTGCTTTTGCTCATGCTGTCCTTTCTGCTTGACTCCCTTCTTTCTGCTTAGAAAATGGGAAAATGGGCCTCTCTTAAGGTTTTGTTTTTGTTTTTGTTTTAAATCAGGGACTGAATTCAAGGGCCTTAACCACTGAGCCACATCCCCAGCCCTTTTTTATATTTTATTTAGAGACAAGGTCTCGCTAAGTTGCTTAGGACCTTGCTAAATTGCTGAGACTTTCAACTTGAGATCCTCTTGCTTCAGGTTCCTAGGCTGCTGGGATTATAGGCATGCAACACCCGGCCTGGCCTCTCTTAAGTTTTGTTTGCTTGTAACAATCTGTCTGCTTTAAGACCCATGATACTCTGTTTCTTCTCCCCTACTTCCTAGGAATTTCAGGCTTGGGGCACCCACAGACCCTGGAGTTCACATGACAGCTGTCTAAATATCTGTCCTCTAGACCATGTTCTTATGGAAGGGGTACTGCTGCACAAGGAGTGTTTTGAACTCTGTGAGGTATTTTGTGGGTGCAATGATAGGAAGGTGGAATGAACCTCATTCCATTCAATGAATGTGGTCTGAGAATGCTGGGTGTCCCGCAAAACTGGGACAGTCCTGCATAGTAGCAAATGCCTGTGTCCGGCAGGACTTTGAAAAGTCCAACCAGATAACTCATGTAAGTAACAAACTTATTTATAATAAATGCATTTGCAACCTAACTGTTTTACAAATAAACTCAGTAGTTTTTGGCATGGCTTTACCATATGCCGATTTTTCCCAGGAATGCAACTACTGTGTTAATCAAGGGAAAACTAAACTTTACTTCCTCCCAAACTTTAACTAGAGTTGACATCAGTTTGGAAAACTGTATTATTGATGAACACATGACTTCATTGCTATAACCAAAATTCCTGACAAGAACAATCTAGAGGAAGTAAGATTTATTTTGGCTCATGGCTTTAGAGGTTTGAATCCATGGACAGCTTTCTCCATATCTTTGGGTCTGAGTTAAGAAAGAATATCATGGCAGAAGGGAGAAGTGTGTGGTGAAACAAAGCTGTCAGCTCATGGCAGCTGGGAAGCAGAGAAACAGAAACAGAGAGGAGGAGGGGGCAAGAGGATTCTAGGAGGAAGGAAGGCAGGGGAAGGAGAAGGAGAGGCAGGAAGTAGGAAAGGGAGGAGGAAGGGCCTTCCAGGGCAAACCTCCAGGGACCTACGTCCGCCAACTAAATCCCACCTCCCAGAATTCCATTCAACTATCAATGGACTAACCCATCAATTGGATTAACCTATCAGGGTGGTAGTATTTAGCTGTCATCCCAGCAATGTGGGAGGCTGATGCAGGAGGATTGCAAATTGCTAGCCTAGGCAATTTAGAGAGACCCTGTCTCAAAATAATAAAATATAAAAATGGGCAGAGGATGTAGCTCAGTAGTAGAGGTCCCTGGATTCAATCCCTGGTATGGAAAAAAAAAAATTGTCCCCACTGATGAGCTCAGAGCCCTCATGATCAATCATTCAAAAGCCCCATCTCGGGGCTGGAGATGTGGCTCAAGTGGTAGCACGCTCGCCTGGCATGCGTGCCGCCCAGGTTCGATCCTCAGCACCGCATACAGACAAAGATGTTGTGTCCGCTGAAAACTAAAAAATAAATATTAAAATTCTCTCTCTCAAAAAAAAAAAAAAGCCCCTTCTCTGAACCCTACTGCACTGGGGACTATGGTTTCAACACAAGACTTTGCAAGACATTCCAGATCCAAATCATCACAGTGACTCATGATTTAGAAAGAAGAAATTAACCTTGAAACTGCTGGCAAATCATTTTGAGAACTTTAGCTGTATTCATCTGCATTTGTGGATGTCAATGTGATTTGGTATAAAAGTCTACTTTTTTAGTTCTTATTTTTAAAAGAAAATATTACCTGAATCTTATCTCTCTTAAATTTCTTTTTTCAAGTAAGTGCAAGCATATAAGTGTTTTGGCATGTCTTCCAATGAATTGGCATGAGCATTTACATATTGAAAGACAAATTATTTGTTTTAGTTAGCTTTTACATCATTGTGACCAAAATACCTGATAAGAACAACTTAGAGGAGTAAAAGTTTATGTTGGCTCATGGTATCAGAGGTCTCAGTCAATAGACGGCTGACTCCATTACTCTGGGCCCAAGGGAGGCAGTACTTCATCGGGGAAAGGGCATGGCAGAGAGAAGCTGTCCCCTCAGGATAGCCAGGAAACAGAGAAAGAGGCCACAACAAAGATGCACCCTTCCAGGGCACTCCCCCAGTGACCAACCTCCTCTAGCCACGCCCTAGTCAGTTCATTCAAATTAGGATTGACAGATTAGGTTACAGCTCTTTAATCATTTTACCTCTGAATATTCCTACCTTTGCAGGAGTTTGGGCTTGGGAGGCTGAGACAGGAAAATCACTAGTTCAAAGCCAGCCTCAGCAAAAGTGAAGCACTAAGCAGCTCAGTGAGACCCTGTCTCTAAATAAAATACAAAATAGGACTGGGGATGTGGCTCAGTGGTCAAGTAACTTGAGTTCAATCCCCTGCACCAATAAACAAACAAACAAACAAACAAATATGAATGATGAAGTTCATGGTGATACCTGGAGTTATGTTTGGGCCACAAACCAGGTAGGTGATGGGGTCCTTCGCTGAGATGGGGAACACAGAGAGAGATCAGGTTTGGAGGAAAGTGAAGAGTTGTTTTCAGGGTGAAAGTTTGGAGAGCCCTGGAACTTCCAGGTGGAAGTGCTAAGGAACAGTTGCTCTGCAGGCCTTGATTGTTCTCTAAATGACATTGAAGAATTTGAAGTGCAAAGTCATAGTATCAATCTACCTCTTTGATGGGTAAACATTGATGACTTCCTTACAGCATGAACCAACCTGGGGAAGGAACTCAAAATAAAGGTTTGTGTCTCTTCTGGTGGTGATATCAGATCTTCAGAGGGCTGGGGCTCCTACAAGGTAGGGGATGAACTCCTTCATTTTTACACCACACAGCTTCCAGCTCCCGTCTGATACAGTAGGTGCTCTGCAGTGATTACTTGAGGAAACACCCAGCAAATCCTGTTTGTGGAAACACGGAGATTCAGGGCAACTGTTCTTTGACCTGTAGTCACCGCAGTAGAACAACTGGGATCAAGTTTTCCCAGAGCCCAGCTCAGCCAAGCAATAACAGGAAATTGTGATAAAGGGAAAAACTGGATGATATGAACTTATCTTGGGCATCTCTTCACTCCTCAAGGCAAAGGTACAATTCCAGGCTTTAATGCCACATAGGGCATAGAAGGTGGCTGTGCCTCAGGCAATATATGCCCGGCCATGAGGTCAAGGTACAAGGATTCTTTGAACACATGATTTTTATTGTATAAATAAAATCTGAGGAATACTAGAGGAGATCAAAAGGAAATCATATGCTCTTTACAGCATTATTCATAATAGCCAAAATTTGGAAATAGGGGTAAGAGTGTAGCTCAGTGGAAGAATGCTTACCTAGCATGTATGAGGCCCTGGATTTGATCCCCAGCACTGCAAAAAATAAAAACTAACTTGGAAACAGGGCTGGGGTTGTGGCTCAGAGGAAGAGCACTCATCTAGCATGCTTGAGTCACGGGGTTCAATCCTCAGCACCACATAAAAATGAAATAAAGATATTGCGTCCACCTACAACTAAAAAATAAATGTTTAAAAAAACACTTGGAAACAACTCAAATGTCATCAAGTGATGGATAAATAAAATGTGGTATATCCATACAATGGGACGTAACTTGGCAATTACAAGGAATGAAGTATTGATACATGCTGTGCCACAGATAAATCTTTTTTTTTTTTTAATTTTTTATTGTTGGGACAGATAAATCTTGAAAACATACAAAGTAAAAGAAACCAGCCGTAAAAGACTACACATTGGGGCTGGGGTCGTGGCTCAGTGGTAGAGTGAGGCCTAGCACATGTGAGGCCCTGGATTTGATCCTCAGCACCACATATAAATGAATAAAATAAAGATATTGTGTCCAACTACAACTAAAAACCAAACATTTAAAAGACTATAAGATAATACAAAACCAGACGTTATTAAAAAAAAAAAAAAAAAAGACTACACCTTGTATGATTCCTCTTATATGAAATGCCCAGAGTAGGCAAATACATAGAAAGCAGCTTCATGGTTGCTAGGTACTGGGCAGGGAGCTGAGGGAGCAAGCCTTATAGAAGAGCTTTCGAGGCTTGGGAATAGCAAGTACAAAGGATCTAAGGTGGAAGCATGGACTGATCCATGCACAGCAAGGCTAGCACATGTGCAAACCTGTAATTCCAGCTACTGGGGAGGCTGAGGCAGGTGAATCAAAAATTTGAGGCCAGTTCCAGCAGTAAGACCCTGCCTCAAAATAAAAAGTAAAAAGGGCTGGGAATGTAGCTCAGTAGTAGAAAACCACTAGGTTCAATCTCCAGTACAAAAAAAAAAAAAGACCCAAAAAACAAAATAGCAAAGAGGCAGGTATACGTCAAAGGAGACAGTGATGGGAGGTGAAATCAGAGAATGGGTAGCAGGACCAAATCATTTAGGGCTGTATGGATCACTGTCAGGACATTGTTTTTTTTTTTTTTTTTTTGTTGTTGTTTATTGTTTTTGGTCCTAGAGATAAAGCCCAGGGGTACTTAACTACTGAGCCACATCCCCAGCCCTTTTTTTACTTTTAATTTTGAGACAGGGTCTCACTAAGTTGCTTAGAGCAACTTGCTAGTTGCTGAGGCTGGCTTTGAACTTGTGATCCTTCCTGCCTCGGCCTTCCAAGCTGCTGGGATTACAGGTGTGCACCACCAGACCCAGCAGGACATTGGCTTTTACTTGGAGAGAGATGAAATACTATTGGCAGTTTTGAGCAGAAGAGGGTATCTCAGGTTGTGTGTGTGTGTGTGTGTGTGTGTGTGTGTGTGGGGGGTGTTACTGGGGAATGAACCCAGGGCTTATACATGCTAGGAAAGCATTTTGCCTTTGAGCTGTATTCCCAGCTCTTCTATCTTACGTCTTAACAGGATCCTACTGGCAGAGATGGACAGACTATAAGTGGGCAAGTTTCAAAGAACAGGAACCGTTTAGAATCTACTGCATTAGTTCAAGCAAGAAATGACTCTGACTTGGGTCAAGGTGACAGTGGTAGCTATAGACATAGGGAGAAATGCCCAATCTGGCTCCATTTTGAAATCAGAGCTGACATCCAAGCATAGTGGTACACAACTATAATTCCACTGACACAGGAGGCTGAGGCAGGTGGATTGCAAGTTTGAGGCCAGCCTGAGCAATTTAATGAGACCTGTATCAAAATACAGAATAGAATAGGCTGGGGATGTAGTATGATGATAGATTACCTTTAATCCCAGTGGCTTGGGAGGCTGAGGCAGGAGGATCTCAAGTTCAAAACTAGCCTCAGCAGAAAGTTAGGTGCTAAGCAACTCAGTGAGACCCTGAGAAATAAAAGAAAAAGAAAAAGAAAATAGAGCTGACCTTCAAGCTGTTGACCTGAGCAACTAGGAGACTGAAGTTGGATTTTATTGAATGGAGGAAGACTGTGGGAAGAGTCCTGCTCACAAGTAGAAAGAAGGTATAGCAGAGCATAGATCAATTTAAAATCTCTTTTTCTAAACATTAAACCATAATCTTTTACTGAGAAGCCAAGGAATCTTCATAATAATCACTTTTGAGGGCTGTGTGTTCCATTCAATTCATTTAACCTAAATTATACAACTATTTCCTTTGTTAATCATTAAGACTTTTATTTAATTTTCAAAATTACAGATAATACTCTAATGAATATCTTGTGCTGATTTTTTTTCTTTCTGGGTTTTTTCCCCAAGAGATTAATTCTCAGAAATGGATTTACTAGGTAAAAGAGTAAGAGTACTTATTGGCTCTTGAGACACATTGCTGAACTGTTTTCCAAAAAGATTGTGGCAGATTTTAAGGTCATCCAAAACTTAGAGTGTAGTAATGTCACCACAAATTGGACAATATGTGACATTAGAATTTTAATTTGCCCCAGTAAAAGGGTTAAAAGACTCCTGTTTTTAAAAATTTCATACACATATGATTACAGTTAAGATTGAACACATTTTAAGTTACTTTGTGTGTCTCTGGCTGTGAATTGATTGTTCAGGTCCTTTGCCCACTTATTTACTTAGGTCCTAATATCTCCCTTACTTATTTTTGAATTTTTTCCTAAAATGAAGATAAGGATGTACCCTTTGTCAATATTTTTTAGTAAAAATATTTAAAACAAACAAGTTCTGTTGAAATGATTTCGATGCCTTTTGTGAAAATGAAAAAAGAAACATTATATAATTTTATTCTATTTTGATGGTTTTTTAATTTAAAAATTGCCATCTTGATTTAAAAAAAAATTCTTATGGCACACCTAGAATGAGTAGTAGTGGTTACAGATAAGGGCCTACCTTCTAGATCCTTCTCCTGAGTGGCCAAGTTTTCCCATAATCTGGTACAAACTTATCTTACTGATGATGTCTTGGGGCACTACACGGTGAAGGATGGGGGCAGAGGGCTTGTTCAGAGGAGAGTGGCCTGCATCTTGGAGGAACTGGAGAATGTGTATGAGGAAGACTGATTGGCTTCTGGAGTCTAGGGCCGACACAGAAAACAGATCCCAGTTCTAACCTCCAG